TTGGGGCTGGCAGGAGGATTTAAACAACTTCACAAACAATGTCCTGTCACGGAAAAAAAAGCTGGGAATGGACAATGGAGCAGGCCATGAACAAACACTTCTCATGGACGCCTAGATCAGGAGATAAAAAGAGACCCTCTAGTAGCGGCAAAAAAATAATTGCTCACTTGTGATTGTTGCTTTCTAGATATGTGAAATAGCTCTGGTGGCAGCCAGCAGCTGGAAGCAGGGAGATGCTTGATGTCCTCAGCTCATTCCTGGGGAGGCTGCTGCCAAACTCCCAATGTCTCCAGCTTCTAGCCCTTGTAGACACTATATGTTTTTCTGGCTGCAATCATGTCATTCCTCCCTGCTCTTCAGTGAAAGAGAGAAAAGTGTACATTAAATATTTGGGAAGGACCACATTAGGTCCACCTCACCTCTCTTCTTGTCTTTAGTGGAGGCCACAATGAGACTCTTAGGAAAGATCAGTAAAAGCAGTATTACAGGCACTGCCTAGAGCCACAGCCAGGACCAAGTTCCCATTGTGACAGTATTGCACAGTTTCTCCAGAACTGAAGGTCTAAAAGGAGAAAGCCTTATTCTGCAGCTTCAACTTGTCCTGGCAAAATCTGCGTCTCTCCTTTTTCTGCCACCTGCACAGTTTAGAGGCCCAGCCTTGGTACCAGATGCAGCTGCTGTTTGGGGAGGCTAGAGGAAAAATGCTCAGGATCATGCCAGTAGTTTGTCTTAGCCATTACAAGAAGAGAGGCTGAAGCTACAAACTTCCAAAAATAGTCATTAAATGATCTTCTAAAGTGAGATGATTCATTTACTTTCCTGGCTGATAGAACTCCGTAAGGTTACGGAGAACCTGAATCAGGTCACTTGGCAGTGACAGTTCTATGAATATCTAAAGGTGGCTTTGCCACGAGTAGTATAAAGACAGAGCCTCACCATTTTAACTTGGGATCGAACATGATTTTTACTGGAAAATCTCATTCCATACTACAGACAGACACCACGCCCTGCACAGGCCACCCACTTGTCACCATGCTCTTGCTTGGGGCCAGAACATCTGGTTGTAAAAATGCAACTGTGGTGCTGTCCCCCAAACAAAGGATACTGGACACAGCTAGATCCTTCCTTCCCAAGGGAGGCAACAGATTGCTGCTGTTACATTTGCGACCCGTTTGACAGTTCTCACCCTTTGGTGTGCAGTGCAAGCCGGCAAGGCAACTTACTTAACAGCTAGGAAAGACAGCGAGGATGATTAGCTTTGTGATCAGGTGCTGTGTGGCCAGAGCCAAAAGAAAACTGCTGCTGAATGCCCAGGTTTCAGGATACAGTAATAACACACAGTGCTATATTTCATTTCTTTAACAAGTGCTGAATGTGCAAAGGCTCTTTTCCCAGCTTCTGTCTCTGTCTTGGAAGCGAGGGAAGAGATGCGTCTATAATTATTTTCAGATGCCATCCACTTTATTGATTATTTTAGTGGGATGCACAAATAATGGCAACTAATGCCAGGAGCAGAGATAGAATAAAGCTTGTTCCCTTTTGGGAAAAACTGAAATAAAACCACCATATGAATGGGTCATTGAAAACAGGCTGGAATATATTCCCTATAGTCCTTCTGAAAGTTCAAGAGCAGGGGAAAAGAAAAAAAAAACAACAGAAGAAACTGTCTCTGTGTTCACTAAACTTCTAATATCTGAAAGTACTTAAAAAAACACACATGCACTTTTTTTTTCATATGATCATGGAAAAACACACTAAGCTTTTGACTCAATGGTTTTGTTTTTCCAGTGAGTCCTTTCCAGGTTCCATGCCATCTCACAGTCACGTCTGCTGGGTGAGCTTTGAGCTAACAAACTTCAGAAGAGCTTTTTGCGATTTTGCCGCATTGAGTTTCAAGTATCGGCTTGCTGGAAGCGCAGCGGAGAGGGAAAAGGGAGGGAAGTGGTGTGAGCTTTGCCAACACACCTGCACAAGCTTTGGGCTCTCCTGGACACTCTGTGCACTAATGATGTATAACCTGTAGAGCCTGGCAACACACTTTCTGAAGACTAAAACAGACAGACTGTGCGTGCTTCTGATTTCTAATTTCTTAATACAAGTAATAACCCCTCCTCCTCCAACCCTGTGCTGTAGGTAAATGCTTGGGATGGAAACTGAGATGTACTCAGCTGGTGAAAGCTTCTACCAAGGTAAGGAATAAATGACATTTTAATTATGGTATTATTGGTCTATGTATTTCCCCTTCTGAAGCAAAAGGGGTGGGGGGGAGGAAGAAACTGAAAGAAGGACAGAGTTGATTTCAGCTCCAATGTTCTGCTAATTTGTCTTTTGACTATTAGAGATGCAGCTGGATTCTATTTCTAATCCACTTTCAAATTTGCTTGAATTAAAATCCCAGATCACTGCTGTGTTTTCAAGTTGAAGTGTGCATAGTAGCCAAAGTTTATATTGCAATTTCTGGAGTTATGGAATGATGAGCTCCAGTAGAGGAAAGTGTGTTGTATGCCTGAGTCCCGGGGGATAAAAAAAAAAAGTTGGCATCAGTGTTATTTGGAATTAGAGCTCACTTGCAGAATAAATAGCCTTGAAGTTAATACGCTGGCTACATTTTATATTCAGTTCCACCCACTGGAACCAGTGGGTACGGAAGAGCAAAGGTTGCTGTAGTGGAAAGGTAGGAATTGGAAGTGCTGGATTATTATGAAGCCTGGATGTTTCTGAACTTCAATCTGAAATTTTACAATTCCTTCATTAGAGTGGGGCTTACTTTAGTAAGAAATTAACTTCCTGACTGAAACAGGACAACAGTACTGCCCTTGTGTCAAAATACCTGTGCTTTTGCTTCATCTATCTGAATCCCAGTCTAAAAGCTGACATTTCTCCTGTGGCATCCTGTTTATGTCTAAATTTAATACCATAGTCTTGTTAGACTTTGTCACCTGGGTAACACCATAACTCACATGAAGTTATGAATCCTCATATTCTCTGGGTTTTTATATCTGCCATGACAATTCCCAGCCACTGCCAGGTGAAGCCAGCCAGTATTTATGGAAAATGAACCAACTAATCATTTCCTATAGCAGGACTCGATTATAATATAATTGCAGCAGTTTACATCGACATCCACATGGACAGACACAAGCCAAAAACTATAGTAAGGGATCCACCCATCTACCACCCAAACGTAAACAAGCCAATATGGTTAAAAAGAGGACTGGAAGGTAGGGCCCAGGCATTCTCTAGCTGTGTTTTGGTACAATTGCCAAGATGCTGCAAAACCTTTCTGCTAGGAAATTCATTCAGCTGTACCCTGACCCTTACCTTACACAGAAAGTTCAGGGGTGTTTTTCAGTGCCAGCTCTTTTTAAAACAGGGTTAGAAGTGTGTTATTATCGGGAGAAGTGAGAGATTATGTTTTGGATGCTGGTTGTTGTAGAGTCACGACTCAGACTTGCTACGTACCTAAGACCCAGTTCAGCATGAGCCAAGATTGCCACCACTGTAGTGTGTGCACACCGCCACCAATGTGAATTCCTTTGATCACACTGGCAGTAATGTGCACGCAAAGGGAAAGGAAGTCTATATAAAGACAGCTGGAGATCAGCTGAACTGATAGGCTTTAATGAAAGATTGGGGAGTAGCTCCTTTGCTGATGAATGATTGAAAATACAGATGTGGATTATGAGGAACTTGATGTAATGTGAAGAGAAACTCAGGTTGGCCTTCACAGAAGGCTTGGCTTGGAAGGAACCCTAAAAATCACCTAGTTCCAACTCCCCTGCCATGCTGTGCCATTGTCCACCAATGCCATCACTCCATCATAAAAGGCCACCTGACTGTTCAGGCACAATCTGCCCTTGGTGAAGCCATGCTGACTCTCATATCATCTCCTCATCCGACATGTACTTTAACATAACTTCCAAAAGGATCTGCTCCATGATCTTCCTAGGCACAGAGGTGAGGCTCATTGGCCTGTAGTTTCCCAGGTCTTCACTTCTCCTTTCCTTAAAATTGCGAATGATGTTTCCCTTTTTTCAGTCACTGGGGACTTAGCCTGACAGCCTTGACTTTTCAAATATGATGGAGTCTCTTCAATTAGAATAAATCAGTGTAGTAGTCCCAATGCTGAGCAAACTGCTAGTTTATACAGCCTTTGTGAACTACAAACTCTATTCAGAACAGTTTCTCCCAGGAGAAATACAAAGGTTTTCCCTTCAGTGATACTAGTCAATCTCACTCCACAATGAAGATTTACCTTGCTGACAAAGAGACATGGAGAAAAGCTATCTGTGTTTGTTGGGTCTGTCCTGAGAAAAGATTTGACATGACCCTGATAATTTTCTTCTTCACTCCTCTCCAAGATGGCATAAATTAGATTAAACTAAACTATTCCCAAAATTGCATTTCCAATAAATGAACAAGCCTGAATGAAACAGCTTCTAGTTTTTGCTGATGCACCACTGCATGCAACAATCAATCCATTCCTCAGCTGCCACCAGGAGAAAATGGCTGCTGCTACTCAGCTACAAGTTCTCACTCCTGTTTGGATGTTTATGAGATCAGCTTGGCCTGAATATAGCCTGAAAGTGCACCTCTGGATATCACAAACCTCCTCAAATGCGTTGGCCAGATGGAGGGAGCTCTCCTGGAGGCTGGGGCAGTTTACACTAGTGGAGGATCTGGCCTGCAAACACCTGCATCTGTGGTATGAGGACAAATAAAGGCCCATACTCCAAACACGGTGTGCTCCTAGGCTCCTAAGCCGTACAAAATCCCATTTCCTTTCTACTTGTGTTAAATGTAAAAACAGAAACAAAGGCACACACCTAAATAAACAGAAAAGCACAGACAACAGAAGAGGAGAGGCCCTAGTACAAGCCCGAAGCCAACTAGTACAAAGAGATACTTTCTATTAGCAGTCCTTTGTGTGAGACCTTGCCATATCACGTGGATGAGAATGTGAGTGGGAGATTTGCTGGACAACACTGGTTTTATAAATGTCTCACAACTGCAGAAACACCTGCTTTACATTATTTTTCTTATTGGTCCGCAACAAAAATCCTCTCTGGTGAACAGCCCTCAGCAGGCCTTATTCCTTCCTTCTCTGTGGACAGCTCAAGTCACTGGTCTGGAACATCTCAGGATCACACCGGAACCTCACTGAGGAAGAGGTGGAAGTCAGAAGGGAGAAGGGCACTTCTGCATGAAATCATACCAAAATGTTGGCTAGAGGACCAAAACCGCAGGAGACTGCTTCCCATTAGGTGGGGGAGGTGGGGCAGGAAGGTTTCCCAGGCCAAATGGACAGGTCTTGAAGACCCATCTGTTTTCACCATGAAAACCTCACAGCCCACACCTATGCAACACACACCACTCCAGTCACCACAAGTTATTACCCTTGATCTCCACCACTTCCTGAGAAGCTGTAATAGTCTGATACAGTGTCCAATGAAATCGAAGGGATCCTTTCCATTAACTCAATGGAGTCTGGATCAGGCCCAACATCTGTTTGGCCCTCTTTGTGCACAGTGCAGCCAATTTATTCTTTATCCATTCCTGGGCCTCACTCCTTCTTATGGCTGTCATTAGCCACACTAAGCACCACCCCCAGGAAGAACCCATGATTCACGTTATAGAGACTAGGATGGTACCGGGTACTGATCTTATCTAGGTCTCAAACTAACAGCAAGAAGCCAGAAGACACCATCCATTCACACAGCAATACACAACATTCATTTCTTCAGGAATTCATTTCTTCAGGACTTTGATGAGCCCTTGAATTACAGCATGCTTTTGTCACCTGTCACACGTGGATTCCCATGCTGTGAAATGCATGTCATTGCTAAGCAGAGTAATTAGCCTCATGAAGCCAAGCAGCTTCTCACAGCAGAAAAGTAGTTATCCAATGTCAAATCTATAGGTGCTTCCAGACAGAGATGCAGATTCGTTTTGGGCACTACCACTGTGTAACTGAGAACTCCATGCAAAAATCTGCCTCCACAACGTACCCCAAAATCACATGGGTGTGAAAATGTGAGCGTGATGCCTAAGGCCAGATGTGCGGACTGGCAGACTGCTGGCACTGTGCATAGGTACATCTGCATGTCAGGTACTTACTCATCCCTGCATACTTCCCTGATAAAATCTGGATTGCCTAAAGCTGGTGTTTTCACTCCAGTTTCCTTATCAAGGTATTTACCATCTCCTGTCTGTGCCTTGCAGACTGAGGGTGTTAAATGCTGCCTTACTCTGTCAGTGAGCTCAGGCATGCAGGAGCTGCCATACAGGATGGGATTTCTAAACCCACCAGAGCACGCAGTGGGTGGCTGCTGGCTTAGGCTCAGTAGGATCTCACCTTGTTTGTACCTGGGACATTTCTCTTTTGATCCTGTTGCTGGCTTTCTGCAGCTGGCGGGCTCCTTCTTGTGTTTTGTGGTGTTTATTGTGGTGTTTTCTGGTAGATTTCACAAGATGCTGTCTCCCTTGGAGCATCCTAGCCCGGTGCAGTTGTTGTGTAGCTGTATGGAGAGAAGGAGAGTTTTGGATGAAGTAATCTCATCTGTAACAGAAGTGTATATGGGAAAACCTCTATCTATACACAAATCTTTTTTTTTTTTTCTTCTTTTTTTTCTGAAAGCATTTCTTTGTTGCTTTAGATACCAGGTCCACTACCACAAATGCAAGTATTTTTGGGGCCTCATCAGCTAGGGCATTGGAAGAGGACATTGTTTATTCTGGGATGCTGATTCCACAAACAATTCCATGAATAACAACCGTGAGCAGAACATTCTAGGAATATTGCTTGGTGTCAATCAGACTCAAAAGGAAACTTTTTTGGCTAAATTAAAACAGAACAAAATGAAATGTAATTTGATTTATAAAATGCCACCATTCAAAAATGACAGTATAGTTTATCAGACCACATCATATAAAGAGATTTTCTTTTGAAATTTTTGTTCTAGTTGGATATGTAGAAAAAAGTCAGAACTAACACATGGGATAAATTGCTCAGTGATTTGAAATTTCTGTCTTGACACAGGCTGGCTGAAGGAGTAAACTTCCCAGCTGCTTGTCCTACAGTAAAAAGCAGCTTCCATGCTGAGCAAACTTGCTTAGACCCCACGGCTACATCCCCATATACATAGTGCTCACTGGATGTAGGATGACACTTAATGGAATCCAGGAAAATGACCTTTATATTATATTATTTAGCCTCTTGTGGTTTTTCTGGTGGAAGAGGTTAGACTTGGATCTCAGGCTGTTAGCATGTGTCCCAACAAGAGCACTCTGAATCCCATCAGCCAGGGAAAAGGAAGTTGTCTACCAGCAGCACTTGCAGTGCTGAAGGAAAACTGGGCAGAGTTCAAGGAGCTGTTTTTCCCATTGCTTTGGTTTTGGGAAAAGTCAGCACAGAAATCAGAGAGGGGACTGCAAAGATTATCTGAGGTGGTGTTAATTAGGTGCCACTAGTAATGAAGATTGACAGCATGAGCTTCAATGGGAGCTGGCTACATATCCTGCATTCAGCCTGTATCCTCTTCTCCATCCTCCTCCCTCATGGTATGAGGACTGGATAGGCTGAAATCACTTTGGGATACGCCTGCTCTTGCTGTGATTTCTACTCGGACCATGCTGTGATGTTTTGGATACGCGCACCTGCCACAAGGCCTGCCTGCATGACTGGGTGCTGGGTGCCCAGAGCCTGGGGACAAGCAGCCCTAAGAGGCCACAAGTGAGAAACACAGGAAGGCAGATGCTTTGCAAAGTGCTGAGAATAAAACCTGGGGAACCATGTAGTGCGAGAGAGAAACTAAAAAATTACTCCTGTAGTGAAGAAACCACATAATATATTCAAGATGTCAGAGGTTAGCCATGGTACATGTGAATCATGCTGCAAATAGCTCACCTTTAACTTTACCGTCATAATTAGATTACAAAGTTTTTATTATGGTTTTAAATTCTGCCTTTATAGGTTGCTGCCCAGCTGTGCACTTAAATCTGGTTTTATCACACTTTCTGAGCTCATCACATTTAATTCTGCCTCTACAACGCTGGATTAACTTTAAGGGTCGCTGAAGTCAGAAGTCACTCACCCTTGCCCTGCTAATGGATTCACACCACCCCTACATGGTCCCAAAGAGTAATGTGTACAGTAAACTATATTTATTGGTGTGGTAGAGGGGAAGGAGTGTTGGGAATGTTTGCTTATTTACTCCACCACTGCACTTAGTTATCAGGGTATTTGCACAGATTACTGCATCCACAAGATGATGTTTACCTCCATGTAATATCCTGATACAATGAAATCTTCTCAGCAAAGTCAATCTGAGAGCTAAAGAGAATGCTGAGGTCTGCTCATGAGAAGCGGATGGCTGGATAATGAAGTACATAAGTTTGTATCATCTGAGGAACTGATCAATTGTCTCCATTCAGAAATCCAGAAATCACACCCTGCCGTCACTCTCACTCCTGCCAGAAAGCCCAGACCTGGTATTTTATGGATCCTGTCTGTGATATTCCAGGAAGCCCCAAGAGGAATAAAAGCCCATTATTTTTCTAAGGATGACTTCTTCGTTTCTAACACCAAGAATGCATGGCAAGGCACGGACGAAACTCTTCATCTCCACAACATTCATCCTCAGGTTTTACCTTGATCTGTTTTTCTTCTTTGACCAGCGCAGATCAGATGGTTTGGTGTTAGATACTTCCCAAACAAGATGATTCATTGTCCTGAAAAATTCATCATGTAAATGGGCAAATAAGTGGGAAATCATATTCCTTCCATTAAAAAATGGAGAAATCAGGTGCTGAACATCCAGGTGATTTACATGAAGTCACAAAGGGGGGTTTGAAAGGGATCTGGGAAATAAAACTAGCTTCAGTGGAAAGGTCATTTCTCTCTTTCTTGCAGGGGAATACTTTGAACTGAATTAGAATGGACCTGAGCCAAAAATGGACAGCAGGGACTTTAAGGAAAATCAGAGGACAAAATTCATCACTGAGTAATGCCATGACAATTTGTAACCTTTGCCATTCAGTGACTAGATACAATATTCTGGAAGTGAGGTTAATAATTTTCAGCAATATATAACCTTCTTTTAAGGAATGTGTGGTGATTACAGCAAAGAATTTCACATGGTCACAAAATATCTATCTTAGAGTCCTGGGCTTATAAAATACTCTATTTCCTCCATTAATTGTGTCCACGTGGAGCTGTAACTAAGTAGCTGAAACAAATAAAACCAAAGTAATATTGTTTCCTTTTAAAATATTTCACTTAATTTGTGGAAGAGGTTTGGGCTCATTAAAAATAGACCATCTCCCACGAGGGCTTTTTTCTTTTCTTCTCCGAGACTCTCACCAATCCTTAGTAATGTGTATAGCAGCACACTTCTCTTCAGCACAGCCCTGCTGGAAGCTGGTCTCCTGTTTGACTCAGCACCTCCTGTCATGATCTGCAGCATGGCCAGGCAGCACTCATTTGACTAAGCAAAAGGAGGCCTTAGCGTCCTCTGATGAATCATTGCTTTTAGATGACCACTCGGTGTCTCTGACTAAAATTTCCTCCTTTTATCTCCAGCTCATTAGGAAATACTACGCCTTTCTCATTCGAAAAGACTTGGTTATTGTGAGCTATGCTTTTCTCATGGAGTATGTTCCCCTCAACTGAGGGTGCAAATAGTGCCTAGACTGCAGCTAGCACCTATAAAGTGGAAGTTACTGAGGCGTTTGGCTTCTTCTGATGGATCTTCGTCTACTCCCTAATTTTTGCAAGTAAGTTATGGATCCATTACTGGTGAAATCACAAACCTCTGTGTCATCTGTGACGGTTCCATTCCCCAGGTTGATGTCAATCACAAACCAGAAAACTAAGCATCTAAGACAGAGGTAAAGAGCAGTGTGGACCAAGGGTGTAAGGCTGCAAGAACAACGTGCAGAGGAGATCAAATGACTTCAGAGTTCCTTTCCTGAATATCATTTTTCCACCATCTTCAAGATATCTGTTCCTACTACACCCACTCCTAAAGAAATGTTACTCCAGCCAGAGCTCTCTTTAAACAAAAGGGAGATGATCTGGTGATTCCACAAAGTCCCATGGGAACTGTCCCATTGCTGGTGTGCTCTGACCAGGAAGGTGCTCACATTGCAGTGTAATAGGAGCAATGCTGAGACCCAACGTAGATGGTGGATGGACCTGACCAAGGTGGGCCAAGTATGCAAGCAATCACTGAAGTTACAGTAAAGGGCAGAAATTTAGATTGTGGCCTTCTCTACACTGGCATGTTTCACAAGGTAGCAATGCCTTGCTAGAACCCAGAATCCTCACCATCACCCAGAATACCAATGGAACCTTGAATGCTCATCAGATACCTGGATAAGATTTCACAGTATGTGCACTTCAGCCCTGTTGCATAAAGACATTTCTATAAAATTGGTCCTATTATCCCTCTCTGATCTTCTCCCTCTCCATTGTGGTCCCAGTCACACTGCAGAAGAATTTATCCTGATGCTACCGGGCAACAGCCAAAACTATTAATGATGGCATCCCAGACAAAAGACGTAGAGCTGTTCAGAGGCTGGGTCACTCCAGTTCTTCTCACTGGTTTTGTTCTCTTTCTAGGGGGGGAAGCCACATCTGGAAAATTACTGGTGTCCTGCTGTTCCCTATGGTCACCACTGGGAACTGGCATATGGTCTTGTAAACTGTGATTAGATCTACAAAGTAAACTCTCATTATGACCTCTCTCAAGGTCTTTAAAAACACATTTCCCTAGCTGCTATGATTATATTCAAATTCTTTCATTTTAGTAATAACAATGTTGTCCACATTTTCCTCTCTTCCTCAATTTCTGATCATAATCTTGTGGGGCACAATAGAAAAATCAGTTCACAATTCTTTTCTCCCTGTGGTCTCCAGCTCTTGGCGTTCACACTCTCCTCCCATCAGAAAGATAATAAAAATACAAACAGTTCTGGATGAGCTGAAACTGAAGTGTGGAGCTTTTCTGGAGCATATTAAAAGGTAACAATCACTAGTTGGTCATTGATATTATCCTAATTATTATTATTGCTTATTTTAGAGTCCCCCATAAAGATGATAGCTGAGATTAAGGCCTGATGATAGTGCAGATGCTCTGCAGATAAAGTGTGAATGCGGTCCTGTTCCCAGCAGCCTGGAACAGAACTACACCAATGCTGCATGAAAGTGCATGGCATCATGTGAAACGCTTTGTCAGTGTGAGAACCAGAGCCCAGCTGAATTAATCCTGTGTCACTGCCGCTCCTATTTTGTCTCTCTGCATAATCTGAATTCTTTCTTATGCATCTTTTAATGATCATGAACACAGCTGTAGCAAATGCTTCTTCTTAATACAAGGCCCAAACCCCAAAATTGCCATTACTCAGCCCCAGGAAACAAGCTCCCAGCAACTGGGTTTTGCCCAATATCTTGCCCCCACTATAAGAACCGTGGGAGAATTCAAGTAGGATGAAGATTTTTGCCCCAAGTATATTTATTTCAGAATATAATGTCATGCTCCAGGCAGGCACGCAGTAGTCCTGGGTAACTTCAAAAGAGTTAATTCAGGATCATCTCTCAACCTGTAAGAGCCAAGAGGGAGAGCTGGGTCTGCTGACTCTGCAGGGACCAGTTTAGGGACTTCAGCACCTGGGAAAAAGGCATGTGACCACAGTGAGGTAGTTTGGCTTATCTACGTTGTTCTTGTGTCCTCTGAGGGACGACGTGCAAAACCTACATACTGGACAGAGGGCTGTGTATTACTTATAGCAAATTTGTAAGAACTATGCAATATTACTAAATATTTTACATTTTCTGACTGTGACAGAAAAGCCTTCTCAGACATACCGTGGGAACTAAAGAGGTGTACATGTCCAGCAGCAGTTTGTTTCATAGTGAAGACTGCATGGTGCAGGTCACATTTCCCTCTGCAGTCATCTTCTGGATTGTGTTTATCTGTGTGTCAGAAATGAAGACATAGACATAAGAACATAAGAACACAACATTTTCTTTTTTTTTTTCATCTAGATAAAAAGGGAATCAATTGACATCTCATATTTCTGGGGTTTAGTGAGATCATAACTGCACTTTAATTGTTTTTTTTTTTTACCAGAATTAATATTACCTGTATTTTATAATTACCTGTAATATAATATTAGAGGAATGTAATGTAGACCTGTAATATAGTTATACAGTGTATGATATGTGTTATATATAATAAAATACCACAGGTCATATAACACAGTTTTCGTAACAGTTATTAGTAGGATTATTAGTAGTATTATCAGTAGTGAATATTCAATGAATAGAAATTTCCCATGAGTAATGTCTTCAGGATTCAGCTCTTCTTATCTAAGCTTCTAAGAAGTACATATATATGAATAAAACATAAAAGTTTTGAAATATGTAAATATTTGGAGGCTGAGGTTGAATTTGGCTTCAATGAGCTGGAAGTCTAAGTTTCTCCACAAAGGCACCTAACTGCCACTTCACATTTCCACATTTGCTTCAGAAATACATTTTTTCTTTATTTTTTTCCACGTCTGGCTCAATACTCACAGTGGTTTTCACAATGTATCTGCTGTCTACGTTTTGGAAATGGCTATTAACAGTCACACAGTGTTTTCCAAACATAATTGTTTAGATCTCTCTGGTGACACAGTTAGCATCTGGGAGAAACACAGTAGTGTGCAATTGTGTCTTTAATTATCTTTCCATTGTGAGAAGGGCTGGTACGTGCCAAGGCATTTATTATACCTGACAAGGACAATGTATTTACAATGGGTGTTTATACACTAATTCTTTATAAAAATACCTTGACAGAAAGTGCTCCACCTGCCCTCATGTTCTCTATCGCAATTGCTAATTAATATTATTGTGCTGAAAATGATCCTATCTATTAAAGCTTCTGTCATAACTGCTGCTCCCTGCCTATCTATGCCTAATTAACCTGCCACTGACTCACATGCTGGGAAGGATGTTTGTTAGGCAGATGTAGCCTTGCTGATCTGATTTCCACTGCTCCATTTGATTTTACCTAGAGCCCTCCATTCAGCTAAGTATGTGCCTCACCTGAAGGATGTCCAGTTGGTCTGCATCTCCACTCAGCATTTCTTGCACTCAGCTACCGCTGCTGATTAAGGTTTAGTGCTATATTCTAGTACTTGGCAATGCTCCCATTGATATTACTGGTAACAGGGCTGACCATAAGCATATATTTAAAGCCAAGTGCCATCTGATTCATTCTGCCAGTTACACTGGTTAAGATAAAGTGAGTGTGCAAAATTATTCTGAAAAATACAGATTGCATCTGTTCTGAATTTTCTGCGTATATGTCAAGCTAAAAAGATGTTTATATTGCTTGCGTAAGTATGGGTTGATTCTTCAAAGTGAAATAGAATGCAACTGTTTTGCAGGTCTGGTCTCTGGGAATTATGACAAGGACTGGGAAGGACAGTAGTGAGAGCCCAGCCATTGCTCCCTGAAGGGCTAGGTTCAAAGAATGACTGCTGTCTGTAAGACGCTTTAGGCTTTATTTTGGGCTCGTATCTAAGTACATAAAGATACAAACAGAAGTCTAATGTGATTGTCAAAAGAATATTACTCACCCCTCGGGAGGCCTCTTCTGCCAAAGAGTTCCTGCCTGGCTCAGCTCGAATTGCAAAATCTCCATGTTCTTCTGTTTCCCATCTGTTACAAGATAGATAATTACAGAGGTGCTAAGAGGATAAACACGGTAATGTCTGGGAGGTGCTCAAAAAAGGAGTACGTAGGATAGATAGAGCACGGGTAGTTACTCTTGTCTCAAGGCATGCCTGAACTCTGCAGTGACACACTTGTTAGTTGACCACAAACTCTGCTGTGATGTGGTCCAACAGGGCTGGGTAAGAACTCTCAGATTATGCAGTTGTCCTCTCCAGGTTTGCTTCAGATTAGCTGCTAAGAAGTGTTAGACTCTGAAGACATCTTAGGCTTTTTCAATGACTAAGAAATCAATATGGTCTCCTGGAGGAGAAACTTGTACATCAGATTTCTGGTATCCTTCTATGCCATGGGAGATACTGCCAGTTACACATGCCAGAATCACATGCAGGGAACAAAACCCAATCTCTTCTTCCATTCTCCAAGAAAGTCTAACTTAAAATATGGAGGAGCATTCCAGCTGGAAACCACTTCTTCATCCATCCCATGCTGGGCTAGTCTTGGCAATAAAGCTGTTTGCCACATGTTTCTCAGTAGCACTACAGCAATTAAGACAAACTAATATGGCAAAAGGGGGAACCCATCTTGCCAATTTGGCAAGTGGGGGACCTGCAGAAGGAGATGCTATCTTAAGAGAAAGATGTCATGTAGTGAGCCACTGTCTCTTTTCCTTAGGACCAGCTCTATGGTGTGTGTTACAGATGAAATTCCAGGCGAATGTGATGAAATCTTGTGGAAGGATGGCAAAGTGATGAAAGCCATGCACATGTGCCATCTATTAGATAAGGCATTCAACCTTTTTTCTTGAACTAATCAGTAGCAGCTAAAATAAACAAAAAAAGGGAAACAGAGCTTAAAAAGTGAGTCTATCTTGCAGCATAAAAAATTAGTCAGTGAATCAAAAGGAAGAAAAAGATGTGGAAAAATGAAGTCTTTCCCCCTCCCTCCCTCCCGTAAAACTGTGGTGTTCTTGTAAATAAAGGGAAAGGAAGTATTTATTCACAAAGAAATGCAACCATGCCACTGTGCAATGAAACAGGTCGGCATGTTGGTGTCTGTGCATCTTCAGCACTAACCAGGATTAAGGTATGGCAGAAGATGCTCTATCTAAGCCTGCTCCCAAAGAACTCCCATGGGTCCCCTACCCATGAAGAACACTTTCCTCCCAGACATTTCCTTCTCTGACAATCCTGACCTTTCTCCTGCATTTGGAGAAGAGCTGGAAGCTGGGTAGAACTGACCACACTACTAGTACATTGTGGACAAATAACCTTTATGAGAATATTGTTCATCATTGACTCCCACAGGAGTCAGGTATGAAGGTATGAGGCTCCTCACCAGATCATCACATGCTATTGTTAATAATAACAATAATAATAATAGAGGGCAGGGGAAGAAATAATATTGCAACTTCCTTTCAACTGTGACACCTGTGTGTGTTGGGAGAGTGAGGATTCCACAGGGCACTTGACTCTGCCTTCTTTGAAGCAGCAGTAAATAGGAATGTTTGGAAAAACTTAGTAAGAGCCATATAAAAGCACCATATCCATATGTGGTTATGTAGGGTATATATAAGGAATATACATGTATTTCTTTGAAACATGGAGCCCCACCAGCAGATCCCTTTATGACTACACTTTGCTTTGAAAGGAAAACATCCAAAGGAAAATGAAAAATGTCAAGACCACTGCAATTGTTCCACTTCAGAATTTAGAGCATGAAGCATTTGGCTTTTTTACTCTAAAGTTTTCATGTAGATCATTATGCAAGACTGTGAAAAGCAGGATTAGAGACATCAGATTTGGGCTCAATTTTTAGGAGGGAAGGAAGACTTTTTTTTCCTGGGACAATTCCTAATCTCTAAAGTGAAATGTCAAAGTTCTTTCTTGCTATGGGTTTCAAGCTCGTACATCATTTCAAGTACTTCTTATATTCCTGTCTATATCACCACCATCACCATAGCAGCTGCACATTATGTCTCCTGGCTTAACAATCCTCACAGAACCAATGGACTACAAAGACACACTACTATCCTCACAGCTCTGGAAATTGAGGCAGGGAGCAAGAACGTGAATTTTTAACTTCATCTAGAGCTTTGCTGACAGCACTAGGTGACAAGCTGGTTCTTATGAGACTGTGATCCACAGCTCTGTCAAAAAAATCCCCTTCTCTGCTCTGTTTTGAGTACGTCTGGGTACTGACAAGGAGGCTTTTGTTGTTGAGGAGTTGGCTGTTGGTCTGAGCTCTCGCACTCTTGTTAGGGAGGCCATGAGGGGAGAGCAGAGTGCCGATCCCAGCAGGAACACATGTCCTAGGTTTGTCCGTCTGCAAAATAATTCTTCTGCATGTCGTTTAGGCTGAGCGCCGAGCCTGGGATCTGCTATATGGCTAAGTTCCCTCCTCACGGCAGCCAGAGCAAGCGTGGTGACAGTTCTGGGGAAGGAAATTGAAATGTTTTGGGAAGTTATGGCATGGGGAGTGACATCTGTGGCAATGGGCTCATTAAGTGAAGGATTTGGTGTAATACATATTATAACGAGGTCATATTCTCAGAAAACTAGAACTTGCCAGCAAAACAAACTAAATCAGTCAAGCTTATGATTCGGTTTGCTTCCAAACTCATCTGTAATCTAAATTCTTTTCAAGGTCATCATAAGCAGGCTTGTATGAATCTTGGGGCCTAATCCTCATCCTTACATCCAGTACAAGCTGGAGTAAGTCCACTAAACTCAAGGGAACCTAGGCAGTTTACATCAAATTGTGGTTATTCTTAAGGTAGGTCATTTAGAAATAGTCCAACCCCCTGCTAAAGCTTGTACCCTACAATACGTCAAATAGGTAGATGTCCAGCTGTGTCTTGAATGTATTCATAGAAGGAGACTCCACAACCTCTCTGGGCAATTTGTTCCAGTGCTCCACCACCCTTACTGTAAAGAAGCTCTTCCATAAGTTTGTATAAAATTTCCGATGTTCAAGTTTTAGGCCATTGCTCTTTGTCCTATCACCACACACCACTGAGAAGAGTCCACCCTCATCCATTTGCCTCTCACCTCTCTTTAGGTATAGTCCTTTCATGGGAACGAGGGACAGATGAACATTGTGAATTACTTTCAGTTTTTTGTATTAGAGAACAGTAATTCCCCTTGCTGCAACCCAATTTCTACCCACAGTGAATTGCTCTGACCTCAGTCCCAGAGATTCCTATGTATGGGAACAATCCCCATCTTCAGAAAGAGTAAGATGGGAATGAATGAATAAATCCCCTCAGGAAGAAGAGACTATTTGGAAGCTTAAGAATGAAAAAAAAGATGGTTACCTGGATTGGAAGTGGCTCAGGAGATCAGAAGCAGCAGCAGCTCTGGAAAAAGGAAACAAACCCAGTCACATCTCTTTTGAAGAGAAAAAAGGTTAAAACCCAAGGATGACCTAGGGACCAGAAGCTCTTTTGCTCTGGACCATCACCTCTAAAGACCCTAGTACTGTGGCCTCCGAAAAAGATTGAGGTCTTTAGATATTGAGTACAAAGAGTATGAATAATATCACCTAATAAAGTACTGAGTTGGAGAAACACCTATTTTGATTTATTTGTGACTTTGTTTTTTTTTTTTAACTTCTGCACTTAAGTAATTGTCTCCCTTAAAAAAAAAAAAAAGTGTACATAATACACGGCAGAGGCAGAAGAATATTTTAAAGTAGTAATTACTTCTACTTAACAATTAGTAGTACTATTTGAGGATGTTTTGAATGAGATTTATTGTATGTTTGCTCTTTTTAAATTTACAATTATAAGCTTAGCTCTGATTATTTTTCCACCAAAAATTAAGAATAATTTATAGCACTTTTTTTTTTTTTTTTTTTTTGGAGGGGGGGAAGGTCTGAAGAGAGGCATGCAAAACCAGGAAAAAACATGTAGGAAGGATAAATTTTTTTGTATGTAAGCAATGTTTAAATGGAATAATTAAATTTACCATAATCAATAAAATGTGTGAGTCAAGTTTATTGAAGTGGCTATTTCCCATTGCATAATTTCCCTGGGGAACTTTCATTTTTAATTCAAAAATAATAATAAAAAATAATAAAAAAACCCAAGCCCCTGAGCACTTACTGTAAATATGCCAGCATATGTGTGAGGTTAAGAAAAGCACGAGCCTACACCCAGGAATCAAAGAGGGGCTTACCACTGCTTTGACACTAATTGTAAAAGCTAAACATTTTCTAGAAACATAATCAAATATTAACTGCCACGGGGGACTCATTCAGCAGTTCACAGTAATTCTAATAAGGTACAGAGCCTTTCACCTTTAGGTCACCAGTTCAAACCCACTTTGGGCTAGTTAGTAAACAGAGGGTAAATCCCAAGTCCAGTGGAAAGCCAGAGTACGGTATATGCCAGTGCATCTGTCGGGCAAAAGTGAGAAGTGTGTTCCTTTTGTTTTCTTCTTTGCATCCCTGGTCATCCATGATTCCCCTGTGTCTGATGAGGCCATCTCTTCTGTGGACTCACCACATATTCCTTGGCCTCAGATCCTCCCTTCTGGAAATGGGATGGGAAACTCCTCTTCTTGCTGCCTTTTCTCAATGGCATCTTGCTGCGGTGTTTTTAAATATTTCTGTATCCTCCCTCTCAAGAAAACCTGAGAAGCAGTATCATTACTGTCCCTCTTCCGTGTGTACAGTTCCTCCTAATGAATTATTTCATGTACTTGGAGCACCATGTGGAAAACACACTGATCTAACATGTAATTGAAAATAACCGGCCCCCACCCCCCTGCCTCAGGCTGCACAACAACCGGTTCTGCCAACAACAGCGCTATTTGAGAACAGAAGCAGAGTCCTCATTTCAGCTTTGCACCTGGCTTCAGGTAGAAATTCTCACACTGCTTGGAGCCACCGTGGCTTCTACATGAACTCACAACTCCAGCCTGGGCACTTGGCACCGGCACTGCCGACTGCCCCAAAGCAGCTCAAGTTTTGTGCCAAACACCTACACGTCTCCCCACTACCCCAGTGTTTGGACAGATCCTTGCTCTACCATGTCGTTCATGAGGAAAGCGTGAATTTGGCTCCTCTTTTTTTTTTTTTTTTTCCCAGCTGAGTGCCAACCAGAGGATGGCTATGTGACTGAACCAACCTAAGAACAGGTGGTGACCAGCACAGACAGTGTCCTCTCTTCCTCACACACACAATCCATGTCTTTTGTGCACAGACACAGCGGAAGCTGCCTCGGGAAACTGCACTTGCTGAAAACAAATCTTGTTGTGTTTAATTCGTGGATCTCATTTTAGGCTAAATTAGTTCCGAAGGCTTGGTAAGGCAAACTTACTGCCAGGCCACAACTGCTTCTGGTGGGAAACAGCCTGCTGTGAGACAAGATCAGTTTGTGAATAGATCCAATTCAAGTGATGCCACAGTCACATCGAAGCAGTGCTGCTGATCCATTATATAGTGTGCTATAAACAGCAGCTGTTGCTGTCTTGCAGGATCTACCATCAAGTTAGGACCCAAGATCAACCTACAGGCAGGTTCAACCTCCCTAGAAGCACACTGCTTTATTTATCAATGAAACATGAGTCTTGGGTGCTCCTCTGTGAGCAGAATGCAGGCTAGATGAGTTCTAGCTTGTTTTTGCTTGCTGTCTTTCCCAAGCACTCCACAGTTTCCTGCTTCTCCCCAGCCAGGCTCCATACACACTGTGAATTTGATACTTTAAGATATCAAAATAATCAGTTTACTGCATACATACAGAAGAAATGTCCTGCACATACCCAGATGGTCTGTTCATGTGATGGGGGAGGGCTAGAGTGGAACGACCCCTTCCTATGGCTAGAGGAAAGCTAGACAAGGAAAACTTTGATATATTAGGAAACCCAGAGCTCAGAGGGGATGACGTGGAGGCTGTTTTATGATATTTAGTTATAGCAGGCAATCCCATCTTTCTGGCTATGATGATATATATACTTCCACGTATGTGTGAGCACACATAATAGTCTGAGGCCTTAATTGTGTCTTATGCTAATATAGATGAAAAGTTGAGGAGCTGCAAGGAACAATTCTTTCATTGTCCTTTACACATCTGGGTTAATGTTTCCTCCTTGAATTAGTCCTCACCAGAATGTTCCCTCTCTGCTCACCACAAGCTAGCAGTGCCAATTTCCCTCCATGGCAGCTCCAGTGACAGCTGTTTACTTGGAAGCTCATGGATTTGATATATGGGTGCTAGCCACAAATTAATGGAATACTTTCCAGATGCAAAGTCTTTAAACATTCAAACAATAAGCCAAAAGCACTAAGCTGTTTTGGCCATTTTTTCTCTTCACTCTGGATGTCACTTGGAGATGATGTAAACACAATTGCTTGGGACAACGAACAGAACACTTAATTGGTTTCGGAGTAACAGCATGGGTTGCTGGATGGCAGTCAGTCAGTGGTGCCATTTGTCACCTGAAGCCAAGATCTGAAATGGCCGAGAGGGACAGTGGAATAAAGAAGAAAAAAGAAGTACTGAAGCTAACTGCTAGCAGGTGGCCTAGTCAGAGAGCTGTGTGTGCTGGCCCAGCCTCCCACGTTCAGGTAAGAGACACCTGGCATAGACTCTAAAGAACAGTTCTCAAAATGTCTCTGGAGGCTCTCTGGAACATTTCAGAACAACAACAGAAGTGTGTGGAGGATGATTACAGTGAACAGGGATCGCCTCAATCCTCTCCTTGCTAGGTGTCATCTAGAAATCAGTCTGGAGCAGAGGAGCTAGCACCTAGCTCAGAAATGGAGACCCAGATCAGTTCCAGACATGTCTCTCTTCCACATTAGACCTTCAGCAGATCTCAGCTTGCATTACATGCACCCTAATTCTGAGGACTGGGACAAGTCCTCCTGACAGCATTTGAGGGCAAAAGTCAGCATAAGAAAGTGGGCTAAATTTCTTTGGGACTGTAAGTTTAACTGTTGGTACCTTTGCTCAAAGATAACAACAGGTCAAATTGAAAACTTCTGTGAAGTAGAATGGCTGCACTGAAGCCGGACGGTAATGATTTACACCACCTCAGAACCTGGGCCAAGAAGTGTAACAGACTTCTTGGCCAACTTACATCACTTTTTTCTTATCCCTTTGCATTTTCTTTGGCATTTTCTTCTTTGCATTCTCTCATTTTCTTCCCCCAAAATTTAATGTGATCTGGTCAGTTGAGCTACCAGGACATCGATTTTTTATCCAGACATTAGGGGGAGGAACCTTCTTACACACTTTTATCTACTCACAAATGCCAGCAAACATGAGCTGTGTGCCCTTGTATTAGACAAGGCTAAGACAGAGCTCCAAGCAGCCCTGTCTGAACTTGAAGACAGTTCAAGCCTGAAATACTGCCTGTTTGAAGATTTCTTCTTTATTCCTTCCAATGTTGTGATTAATTAGAGAATTAATATGTATTAAAGTTATCATCATCTTTACTAGATGGAAAAATTCAAATTCATTATCTAATGGGAGGAAAATAAGCATCATTTTACAAGGGCTTTAGAGCAACAGCGGTAATAACAAACCACCCCAAACTCTAGTCCACAGGCAGCACAGACATCTGCTAGAAAAATATGATGATTCCCCCACCCACCACCCTCAAATTTAGGGATTTGTGGGGAATATGGGCCTTGCCTGAAGTTGTTTGGCAGGAATCCTCATGCGAAGTTCTTATTTAATGAAATCATGTGGTAGTAAATCAAACACAGAACCAGGAATAAGTAAATCCACCACATCCTCTGAAAAAAGTATGGTTTGATTCCATCAACTCAAGTTGCCTGGGCAATGAATTATCTATATTTGTCAACTAAAAACCATCAACCAACAATCACCCATGTTTTTGGTACAATTTTCTAATCCTCATTCTCAAAGCTGAGCTGAGAGCCAGCACAATATGGACTGGTTAGTCACACAAAGAGCTGCTAGGACTAGTGCTAAGCTGTCGTATCTTTGCAAAGTCTGTGCAAATGGCTCAAAATGCAAAACTTGTGCCCTCTTGCAAAGTCTTCACATCTGAATGTTAAAAGAAAGGTGGCAAATTAGTGTCATGAACGACACGAGAGAAAGCAGGTAGAAAAGTGGACAGAACACGTTGACATTATGATACAAAAAATTAGAAGTTGGCTTTACGGACTTGGTAGTTAGTTATGCTGCTGGTTGGTGTTGATTATCTGAAGGGTCCTTTCCAACCACAATGATTCTATCTAATACCTTCTGATGTCAGAAGGAGCCTTAACACAGATCCACTTCACATGGCTTTCTCTGTGCCCACGGAGGTTCAGAGCCACGGAAAGGTGCTGAGTAGCTTTCTGATAAATTCATTATAATTAGGTAACAACTATTAGCTCAAAGGATCTCTCACAGAACTTTTTTCTTCTGAGACGTTCCACAGAAACTGTGCCTACTGAATCAGCAATATCTGTGTACAATGTTGGAAGTTTTTTAAACTATGATTCAATTTTCTGTGTTGTCTTCTTTATTTTTCCCTGGAAAATTTGATGTGAAAAAAGGAAGTAGTAAGTTCAGTGAAATTTTCTTTCTTTTTCTTTCTTTTTTAAGGAAACCTGCATTTTCTGTGGAAAACCACAACAAAAACAACTACTTCTTGTCAACATTTCCCTTAGGAGTAATAAAACATGATTTTCTTTCACTAGTACGCCCAAGCAAGCAAGCAGAAGAGAGAACATCAGTGTCTTTACAAACAAGATTTACAGAGAGATTTTGTGAGGAAGCAGTTGGAAGAGGCACTGTATCAGATGTGTCCATTTTAACCATGACCCACCTGCTGAGACTGCTGTGCTGCCTGTAGTTGCTGCTTGACATTAACTCAATAACTTAATTACATGAGAACTCCCTTAGCTTTTCTCTCTTTCATTTAATGACAAAAAATATAAAATTTTCACCCTACCCCACTCCATAACATTATGAACATCTAATTTAATGTTATTATTTTTATAACTGAGTACTTACAAGTATTGAGATGATGGTTTTATTCTTGCTGGTCTGTCCTGTATTTGTTGTTGCTTCAGCTTTGTGATTCATCACTGTGAAATCAAAATGAAATAGCACTTCAGAAATCTTGGGATTTCCTAGAATCCCCATCTGAATGCCACTTAAGAAGATTTGGCTTTGTAATTAACCATTTCTGAGGGAGTTAAAAATATAAACAACTCAAATGTGGCATTTTTACTACCTTAATAAAACCAAATGCAACATTTACTAGGTACGCACTTTAACGAAAAGAAAAAGGTTGCCATAGCAAAGCAGCAATCCTGGTAATTTTAAGTGAAACCGATGGTAATTGTAGAACAGCAAGGTGCACGTTATTGGCCTAAGAAAAATTCTGTCTTTGTCCTTGAATAGCAGAACTAGATAAAAACAAGAGATTACCACGAAGAAACAAGGTGAAGTGCTTAGCAAAAACCCAAAATAACTTCTCCACTGCACAGCAAGACCCATACCAAAAATGACCCCCACCAGCCATGATCTTCAGCTCCACTGAATGCCAGTGACTTTCCTAGAATTACTGTGGACTCAAAGAGATAAAGCTAATTCATAGATACATCCATAATGTGTTTCCTCAAGCAAAATGGACTGCTGTAGGAATAAGCATAGGCTAAGAATAGCTGTGGGAGAAAGGCAGTGGTGGCTGCTATGCCATACCCAGAAGGAGATGACCTGTGTGCTCTCAGTGATTCTTTATGGTCCAATTTACAGAAGTAAAGTATGGAATGAACTACAGCTGGGTGATGTTATTTGTTAAAAAAATAAAATAAAACGATTCTGGATAACTAAAAATTTTCTTCTGCCTATTTCATAGCCCAGTTTAAAAAAAAAAAAAAAAGTAGCTTGAATTCTGAAATTAGGAAATGTTTTCATTCTTATACTTTCTCTTTCACTAAAAGAAAGCCACATTCCAGAGTTGTCCATCTGGGGCTGGATTCATGTTTTTATTGTATTTTTTTTCCTTTCTTTCATTAACAGAGAAAATAAAACACCAGAAAATCACTGACTCCAACACTGACCTCCTACAGAAGGTGCCTTGCTGTTACAAGTAGATACTGCCTGTGTAGATATAGCTGTGTGTTACCATGCCTGGTTAGATAAAGTGCTCTGAAATTAGGATCATACCATCATATGCTCTGTTTATTCCTTTCACAGCAAAGTAGAGATGAATTTGGAATAAGCCTTCCAAGATGATTTCAATCCTCTTCTTTCCTAGCAGAAATTGGTGCAGCTATCAGAGGCTGCAAGTGAATGCCATGTAACATTACCCACTTCAAGCTCTAGATTGCTGCACACAAAGAGCATTACGTTTTATGGCTCCTGCAGAATACTAGGGGATACTAATTTTACAGGTGCATTCTAGCAAACTGCAGTCCTTAATATCAGAATGTCATTAAAAATAATGCACTCCTTATGCCCGGGCAGTTAATTTAATATTAAATCAATAAAACATTTACTAGGACTGGTGAGAGGCCTGGTTGCTGACAGGAGACTCAACTCATGGCAACAAATGTCTCCTCACCCTTTGCATACAGCTGCTGCTTTATTGTAGAAGACATTTTTCGTCCTGACAAATCACCTCCCTAAGCCCTAATGAGTGCAGAAATTCAGAACATTTGTGGGACATTTATTACCAAGAAAATACAAGGGCCTTTTGGGAGATTTGGATCGACAGCAACAATCAGCTATGAGCCAAGCTCAGTCCAGCAGGGAAAACAAAATGATTCTCTTGGCCACACTGAAAGAGATTGCATCTCTTTCCAACTGGTTTCACCTCTGGGTATGAAGGTTGTGGTGGGAGCTCTTCCCGCCACCGACTTTCCACTGGTGGAGCTATTTCAGCCTCCATCAGGTTCCTGACAAAATCCTGAAATGACAGATCTCTGGGATAGTACCTGTCACAAACTGTCTGCTGCTGAGCACAGCAAATCCCCTGGCACAGCCACCTCTTCTGCCCCAAGGTTACGAGCCATCCCAAAAGTAATGCCTCCATTTATATCCATGGAAACAAGATAAAAGAGTGCAGCAGCAGTACTTGACAGAGAAACTTTTCAGCTACAAAACACTATTTTTGAACATAGTCATCACCGCTAGCTATGCATTTTCACCAGTGATGAACAAGAGTGCATGCTGCACTCATAACCATCTGCACAAGCAGAGGTGGCCTACTGTCAGTCACCACTGCTGAAACGCACCACCCACCGCCTCACTGTGTCACATCCACTGTTTGGTCTCCATAAGCATTCAGCAATGTCAGTGGGCACATTTTTTACCACATGGAGGAATTCAATTCCCCCCCTTTTCTCCATATGCACTTTCATGTCAAACGCTATTGTGCCAGACTGCCCCGCTGCTGCCATCTGTCACACAGCAACAAAACGTGACAGGATATTGGTGGGAAGGTTCAACCTCTCCTGCCATACCACAACACCTGCTTCTGACATCGTGGGACAACATCATAAAATGGGATGCATTACTTTTGGAATAGCTCTCATCTTTGAGCACAAAATCCAGAATTCTGCCAGTCAGCCTGATGGGTAATGTGCTATTGTGACATTAAGGGGATGACTGGGGAACACTGACTTCCATGAGCAGAATCATTTTGGGTATAGTTCACTCAGAAATGCTCCCAGCAGACTCTCCTCCTCCCAGCTGCCTCCAGGAGCAAGGACATGGGTACATAGAAGGCTGGTGAAAGAGTCTGGTCCTTGCCTGATGTATCTGCTTGGATGACGACGTACTTCCTCCTTTGTCTTCCCTAAGCCCTGAGTACTTGGGACAAGTCATGGCCTGAGCAGCAATGACTTCTCCTGACACTGCTGGTGTTATTTGTGTGATGAGCCTCTGCGTTACGCTTACAGGAACACTTTAGCTGTGACCCACAAAGCCAAGCCCAGACACATTTAATATCAAACTCAATCCCTAGTAGCTTCCCTTAGACATCAGCATTCCAGCACATGTAATACGATGAAAACAAATTTCGTGCCATGAAAGCAAAAATATGGGTAAGGTCTGGGAGCATATTTAGGATGTGGTTTTCATAAGCACTCAGCGCTGGTTTAACTCTGCTTCTATTACAGTCAAGGGTAAGTAAACCCCATTGACTTCAGTGGGAGCGGAATTAGGCCAGTACAGGGTGGTTTTGAAAATCCCACCCTTAGCTTTTATATAACATAGAAAATAAGAATCACATGCAAACCTTCAGAGGGTAATTGGCCCATTAAAGTGCATATCATTATTTATCTTAGCCACCATCTTCAAGCTGAAGATCTGCAGCACCGATAGATGTGGGCTGGTGACTGCTGGGGAACACCCTCAGGCCTGGGGGAAGTCACATGGCCAGTCAAAAGCAATGCCTTGACACTGCTATCAGTAAATAACAACAAGGATTTTCTAAAAAACAAACATGCCTATAGAGCTGTCTGCATTGAAGGGATAAACGAGCTTTTGATTGGAAGAACTAAAATCTTTATGTTCAACCTTTATGTTCCTTTGATCATTCTGATTTATGACAAAAATATCCCTATGATGGGAAAACAAACCACCTCCTACATTTACCACCTGTCTTTGCAATGAACTTGATAACAGTCATACAGAAAAACGTGGATGAAAACTTTTTTCACCAGCAGCTTTTGATGAGGAGGTGCTGCTGTCCTGGCCAGCTGCCGTAGTCCTGCCAGGATCAGAGGCACATGGACTCACATACCAACCTGGAACACATTGTTCACCTGCCCATGATTCAGGAGAAGATGAAGAGGAGGAAAAAAACCCACAGTTAAAGGGGCTGTTCCCTAAAGCACAGCTTTGGAGCGTGTCACCGTTCAGCACAGGAAGTCTCCATAGTAGGCAGAGAGTGAGTTGGCCTTGGAGGGGTTGTGCAGGGGCAACCACCTCTGCTTGTTTCCCAGGTGTGCAGGACCCTGGTGTGCACACAGTGAGTCAGGAGTGACTCACGAAGACAACAGACTTTTTCTCAGGCACCCAGGAAGTTCAAACACAGGGGCGCCAGAACATGAAGGCATCTTCATTGTGCAAGAGGTTGTGCTAGATTTGTTCACGAGAACTAGCAGAACAAAACATGAGGGGAATTCTGTATTTCATCAGTGCTTTGACATCACCAGCAGTGACAGAAGGATACAGCCACCATGTTGTTTTCTGACCCCAAGTGCCCCAGCTGAACCTGGGAACTCCCCACGTGGCTTGAATGGAAAGTGCTGTCAGCTTAATCCTGATGCTGTCAGCAGAGCATTTACAAAGCCAAAGTATCAGGTAAGGATAAAAACAACGTGCCCTTCAGAGCAATGCAGTCAGTGCTCCCATTGCGCCCAAATCACTACTCACCCCTCTCTGCCCTGGGCCTTGGCATGTTGATTACAAGCACTTTGCTGATACCCTGGCATCTGTTGGCTGATTGCTGTTCAGTCCCGTTGTAAGGCACCAGTAAGGCCTTACACGTTCTGATCATGTCAAGTCCTTGCTGCATCAGGGCTCTATGGCTCAGGTTCAGCTGCTGAACCAGCCACCGCTCCATGCTTCTGGTCAAGCTCTGACCACAGCACTGGGAGTGCTCTGCAGAGATCCTGAGGCTCCCTGAGATGGGAGTAGCGGCAATCCCTGCTCCTGGCACTGTGCAGCAAGAAAAAAGCCACTGTGCACAAACAGTAAACAGTGCTGTGAACAGGGACTGGAGTCCTGGGGTTGGTGTTACCACTCTATCTAGGTTCAGGCTCCTAGCTCATCCCAGAAAGTGCCATGGATGTTTCTCATCCATACCTGAAACTTTACTCACACTGGGTAGACAGCGGTACCCAGCTATGGCCCCCAGCAGCCGTAACCCTCACAGGCTCTTCATCTAGCATGTGAGAAGTGACCCCTGGAGACTTTGGGCTATTGAGGGAAAGGATGCTTTTATCATACATTTTTGCCATAGCAGACACGCGGGGCTCTTTGCCAAGTTCCTTCATTCTTTCCCCTGCTTTATTTGCACAGATGTTTTTGCCAAGGCTTGTCATCAACTTGGGGAAGGGGCAGTTGAAAA